CCTGGTCCAGCCTCAAGTCTTAGCTAGGCCCTGCTTCTCTCTTTCCTAAGGCAGCCAAAATCTGCTTTGAGTTTGTAGTTATTCTTAAGTGGAAGTTTTCCACTCCTCTCCAGCTGTAAAAGACTTTGTATTGGTACAGGATCCTGGAGTCCAAAATGGCTTGCACATATTTTAGCAGTGAGTCTTTGTCTGTGTTTTGGAGGACAGAGAGCTCCTCCACCCAGAGAGAGAGTTGTTTTGCTTCACCCAGGTGAAACCCTGGAAACATTTCTGACTTCATCATTATGTCTAATATCTAATCAATTAATAAAGCCTGAATTAGATGAATCACTGATGTCTCTTTAATAGGACCCTTTCGTTCCATTTCTCTAGAACAAGTACTCATCTCACAATGATCTGCTGTAACAACAATGCTTCTTCCAGTCTCTACTCTGTCATTCACTAGTTACATCTGACTTTACCATCAGACTACCTTACTACAGCATTGCTTTAACTGCTTATAATTAAAACCAGGCCACCTGCCTATAGGAACAGGTACTCCAATCATTCTGACTATATTTCCAGACTTGTCCGATCATCTTTTTAATACTGGGAGAGCGTATCATTCAATACCTATTACAAAAGAAAGATTTTCCAGGAAAAACATTTTTCTCTATGGAATTTTATTTGTACTACACAAAGAACATGTATCATGGACTAGTATTAAAGGTGCGTACATTTGATACCTTCTTTATTATATTGTAAACTTCTGGAAGGCATTAAGTCAATTTTTATAGATTGTTATACTACTTCTTTCAACTTTCCCACATAAATATTTATAAGTCAAAACTACTGTTATGGGCAGTCAAGTCGGTTCTGACTCACAGTGACTAGGGTTTTCAAGAGTGACTGGTAGGTCTGAACTGCTGACCTTGAGGTTAGCAGTCCAGTGCTTATCCTACAGCGCCACACCAAGGCTCTATAAATTAAAGTAGAAAGAAAAATTAGTAATATGACACCTATACTTTCCTTCTTATGATCCACCCATTCTTTGTTTTGGTTTTTAAAACTACTTTATTAGTTAGGTTATAAGCTAAATTGCTACAACAAAGAGGTTCCATAATACAGTGGCTCAAACAATTTAGGAGTTCATTTCTTTCTCTCCCTCTTTTTTTGCAGTCAATAGCCCCAAACTGAGTTACATTCAATATCCATTGCAAAGAGGGGTTCCCTCCTGTCACAGTTCTCTGTATTTCTTGGCAATATTGACATTAAATTGACTCAGTTTTTCATAACTTTTAAAGTATTGAACATAATTTTACAAATATTCACAAAAATCACAGGATAGCTACCTTGTTATCCTCTGGAAACCAATGACTCTCTCATTACCTTTGTTGACTTCCCATCATCAAATCATTTTGTATAAATAGAACTGATTTCTGTTGAAGCCATGGTTGTGCTAGTCAACCAAAGATCAGACAGACTTCTATTTTCTTTTACCTTCTCAACTTTCGTCTCTTACATGTCTTTCTCATTTAACATGGAGTTCTGGTGTTGCACTGTTGGACAAGCACTGAACTGCTAACTCAAATATGGCAGTTCTAACTTACCAGGCATGCCCTGGGTATGAGTCAGAACTGACTCAATGGCACTTAATAACAACATCAGTAGGTGATGCAGGACAAGTAGATATAGCTCTTCTATTCTGTTACTCCACTATTCTTTAGTTTCTGTCCTTATCCACACATTTGAGGCTGAGAGTCCTGGTGTGGTGCTGTAGGATAAGCACTGAATCTAAAGGTCAGTTTGAACTGCAAAGTCGGTGGTTTAAACTCACCAGTCACTTGCAACCCCCATACAAGGTCCCTATGAGTAGGAACCAACTCCACGGCACTTAACAACAACATCAGCACCAGATCCACATCCTATCCTTGAAGGTAGCAAAGAAAGAGGCTAGGACAAGCAAATTACTTTTAAGAAAAAGTAGTAGAAGCTGCTCCATCACTGATAAGAAACTAGTTAGTAGTTTCTTAGTCATAAAGGAGGCTGGGAAATATAGTCTCTATCTGGCAGCCATGTTCTTTGATAAAACCTTGGGAGATCTATTACTAAAAAAGATAAGGAGAAAATGAATACTGGGAGATCATTCAGGTCTCCTCCAAACCGGAGACTCTTAAATGCCAACATCTGTAAGGTTTCCTCTGGGGTGGTTCATTTTCTGTCAAGGTGGATATTCTAATGTCTTGTTTGGGATATTGGTACTCACTGTTGAAATTCAAACTCTTACTTAACACTCTTGTTTTTCCTAGGGCTCCTCAATCTTACCCAACTCTGTGCCTCATAACTCAGAGTCTGGTAGCTCTCTGCTTTAGTTTATCCAAAGTATATGCTTCTGATTTCATGTGGCAATGGAGGAGACAGGTGATCTAACCATTCTTAACGTAGCCCTGAAAAGGCTATTAAAAAATTCAATAGCCATAAAAAAGCATTGTCTCAAACAGAAATAAACATACACCCTAGAGTCATAATTACTATACCAGCAAAGCATTTTCAAAGGAAAGTTCAGTTAAGGCTAGTTTATGGACCTCCTAGTATAGTCAACCATTTATACTGTTTGAATTACACTTAAAATGGTCATCTCCAACACAAATATACGGAAGTGCCTTTGTTAAGTTTCATGTAAATACACCCTAAGATAGCTACAAAGTTTACCAACAAAACCCACTGCCAGCAGTAAAGAAGTAAGCCTCTCCATCTCAGTGACTTGAGTTGGGCCTTATTGGTTATCACACTCAGATACTCTGTGAAGTTGGAATGCTTGAAGTTTCTAAATCATTTCCAATATATAGGGAAGGGCATAATCATAGACCTCTTCTTGTTAAGTACCATCAAGTCAGTTCCAATTCACAGTGACCCTGTATAGGGTTTCCAAGAGGTGGCTGGTGGATTTGAACCGCCACCTTAAGTCCAAATTGACCTTGCGGTCCAGCGCTTTTCCTAGAGTACCACACCAAGACTCCAATCACAAAATACTCTAATGTCTAATGAATAAAAATACTCTTTAATGTCGTTTGCCCTTTTATAGCATTCCCCTCAAGTACACTTCCAAGAGCGTATAAAATCCTATCTGCTATTTTACTAAAAAGTCAGAGGAGGTGTAACTTCCATCTATTAGTTTCTCTGACCAGGTTACACAACTATCAGAAAAATTCTTCCTGGACCCACACTAGTACCTGACTTCATTTGACAGGGACACCAGACTAAATGACTAAAGTGACAACTTTTCCAAGTATCCTAAGAAATTACACGAAATGATAAATGCTTTACTTGCTGAAACAAATAAATAATGCACCAAACAGGTATCAATTCAACAGAGAACTGGTAATTCAACAATTTAGCTTCAGAGAACATAATCACAGGAAGTTCAATAACACATCATTCCTAACAGGAAAAAAAAACACACAAAAAAAGACTTTTCAATGTTACTCAAAAGAATCAGTTATATAAACTAAGGTACATATATACTATTTTAAATGGAAAAGGTTGACACAGAACTGTATTTATTGACATGGAGAGACATGCATAAAGAACAAAAGGTTATAAAATTATACATGCATACATAAAATCATAATACACGTAATACATTCATATGTGTGTGAGTGTGTTCATACCCTAAGTAGTTAAGATTTGGGAAATGTTCTAGGTTATCAGTTTATTGCCTTTCAGTTCAAAATAAAACGTCACTGCCTGTTCCGCAAAAATGGAGCTGGAGCTGCACCCTTTAAACATTTTTCCTCTGCTAGTTGGTCCAAGTTGCTAAGCTTTTATCAATAGAGGACACTGAGATTCATTAAAGGAAGGAAGGGGTTTTCCTTGCTGGTTCCAGTGTTCTCGCTTGGCTAATTCCAGGCAGCTTCCCTCAACACTCAGCCTCCACAGTTGGTAGCAGAATACTTCCAGTCAGACACTTCCCTGAGAACAGTAGGTTCTGAACATGTTTCACCATCACTGCACTATAGCAACTTCTTTACTATCTAATAAATCATGGGTGAGGTCTCTCCAACAAGCTCTGAATCTCAGCCCTCGGTGCACATGAGGGAGTGCTGTCCCTTGGGCACTGTGTCTCAGATTTAGGGGTAGTGGCTGCTCCTTACATGTCATTCCTATGTGACTAAATCCCCAACTTACAACATATTCTGTTTCAGCGAGCCATGCTTACAGCTGTATACTCTGGTTTCTGTACATCATTAGTATTATATGCTATGTACAATGCGCTTCTGTGCATAATTTGCTGACGTTATTCTCAAATGCAATGGGTCCAGCCTTCAAAAACCAAGGCTGGATTTATAAAGATGCAGTTAATAAAGGGCAATAATAAATTAAGTTGGAAAAAAAGAGGTATCCAACTTAGGTCAAAACCAGCTAACAATGGAGTTATTACCAGAACAGAATCCTGTCTTAAATCAAGGACTATCTGTGTTTCTCAGAGTTCTCTTTACTTCTTACTAGTCAACCCATTGTTACTCCAATCCTGTTAAAGCTAACAATTCTTTATATTTCCCTGTTTAAATGATTATGCAGTTTCTCCTGGTTGCATCCTCAATGATTCAGGGTTGATTTGTTTTATTATTTTCAATGTTGTCTGAATTTTTCATAATATGTATGGGGGGTGGGCGATAACAATCATAAAAGGCAGGTTGATTTTTTTTTTAATTGGAAAAAAACATTAAGAAACCATTCTTAATAGGGTAAAAACATATCTGTAGCACTGCAATGATTAAAATCTAGAAGTTATTTGTGTAAGATCTTAACCATGCATTTTTGTTACAACTAATTTCTTTTCAACATAATCTAAAATTGAGTGTCTTCTAATTTTAAACTATCGGGATGGCTCATCCTAGTATTTCTTTTTTGTGTTAGTTGTGCCATACAATGACCTTTACAAAGAGGTTATAGGATTAGGAGGCCTGCTGAGTGACAGATGACTAGCTCCTCACACCATCAACCCTTCTCCCTCTTACCATGTTCAAGGATTATCAGCTGGGCTCCAGCTTGTGCATTTCCAACATCATTCTCAGCAATGCATTGATAGAATCCTTCATCTGACTTCACCAGACCCAAAACTTGAAGGTTATGTTCCTTCTGAGGAAGAAAAAACACATTGTAGTAATTTATAGTAATTCAAAATCCTTAAATTATTTTGATAAAATACTCTTATCGTTTTATTGATAAGAGTAGAATTGGTGCTTTAACTGTAACAGGTTAATTTTGTTGTTGTTGTTAGGTGCCATCGAGTTGGCTCTGATTCATAGCAACCCTATACATAACAGACCGAAACACTGTTCACTCCTGCACTAGCCTCCCAATGGTTATGTCTGAGTTCATTGTTGCTGCAACTCTGTCAATCTGTCTTGTGGGGTCTCCCTCTTTTTCACTAACCCATGATGTTCTTCTCCAGAGACTGATTCCTCCTAACAACATGTTCAAAGTATGAAAAACAAAGTCTTTCCCTCTTTACTTTCAGAAAAAGCTCTTTTGTAGTAGATTTGCCCTATGCAATATATCAACTGATTTCTTGACTGCTGCTTCCTGAGCAATGATTATATACCCAAGCAAAATTAAGCCTTTGACAATTTTAATCTTTTCTCCATTTATGTTATTTATTGGTCCAGTTATGAGAATTTCTGTTTTCTTTACATTGAGTTGTAATCCATATTGAAGGCAGTATTCTTTGGTCTTCATTAGCAAGTGCTTCAAATCCTCTTCACTTTCAACCAGCCAGGTTGTGTCACCTACATATCGCAGACTGTTAATGAGTCTCCCCTCCAATCCTGATGCCACATGCCTCTTCATATACTTCAGCTTCTTGGATTACTTGCTCAGCATACAGACTGAGTAAGTATGGTGAAAGAATACAATGCAGCACATATCTTCCCAATTTTAAACCATTCAGTATCCCCTTGATCTGTTTGAACAACTGCCTCTTGGTCTATGTGCAGGTTCCTCATGAGCACAAGTAAATAATCCGGAATACCTAATTCCAGAGCAAATGCTCTGGAATTCCTTGCAATGTTATCCACAGTTTGTTATAATACACACAGTGAAATGACTTTTCATAATCAATACAGCACAAATAAACATCTTTCTGGTATTCTCTGCTTTTAGCCAAGATCCTTCAGAGTGCAGCAATGCTATCCCTAATTCCACATCCTTTTCTGAATCCTGCTTGAATTTCTGGCAGCTCCCTGTTGACGTACTGCTACAACTACCTTTTAATAGCTTCAGTAAAATTTTACTTGCATGCAATATTAATAATGATAGATGACTTTTGCATTTCTGTTGAGTCACCTTTCTTTGGAAGGAGCATAAATATGGATCTCTTCCAATTGACTGGCTAGGTAGTAATCTTTCAAATTTCTTAGATTAGACAACTGAGCACCTCCAGTGCTGCATCAGTTTGTTGAAACATTTCCATTTGCATTCCATCATTCCCTGGAGCCTTGTTTTTTGCCAATGTCTTCAAGTGCAGCTTGGACTTCTTCCCTCAAGACCATTGGTTCTG